AAAACAGCTTTGAAAAAGAACCACTTGAAAAACCTATCAGCTAATTCCTATTGCAACTAAAAAGAAAACATGGAAAATCAGGCGACAGAAATTCAGACGAAAACAACAAATCCAAAAAAATCAAAATTTTTCATTAGTTATAATTGAAAAAAAAAGCATTTCTACCCCCCAAATGATAAAATTAGTTTCATTTGAATTTTCAAGTAATTGTCAGCCTTTAAGCATGTCAGAATGTCAGCAGAAAGTGTAAGAAAAGTTGTTTACTGAAAAAACAATTCTAGTTCCCGATTACAAGTATCTTGCTCTCGCAAAGAAAAAACCATAACCGAAAAACGGTTTGCTAAAACCTACGACTTATGAAAACTAAAGTATGTATATAATCAAAAAAAATCTTATACGTAAATTGCCGTATGAACTATTTTTAATTTAACACAGTGTTTTTATGAAGAAGGTGGAGCTGTCAAAACGAGCCCACAAATCGTGTAAAAATTCAATTCGAATATAACAACATTACGATAAGCTTGGTCTGAACCTGGAATGAGCTCAAGATAAACACTTGTCAATTTATTGAGACGAAAATTGTTCCAAACTGGAGAATGGAAAGTTATAACAAATTCCAAAAACAGTTTGTGAAACTTCAATCACCACTCGGCAGTGGGAATGAAAAAACAGCATGCATTTGTAAGCATGAGCAAGACATTCTAAAAGTTTTGAATACTTTTGCATCAGTTAGAGTCACAAAACCTATAAAAGATACGAGTCTCGAAAAAAAACTTCAGCAAAAATTCAAAAAGCAGTTCACTCCTAAATTCGATTCACCAACAAACATTATCTCACCGCCTAACTAGTCAAAACTTCATAAAAGTATAACTAAAAGTATAACAACCAGTATAAGAAACAAATTTTGAATAGAAAGTTTATTTACGTCTGTTGGAGGTCAGCACTATTAGGAGACACAGAACCAGGAGCTGATTCCTAAGAACGAGTGGTTTAACGGTAAAAAAAGTCTTTTAACCGGTTGTAAAAGTCTTGTTAATTGCAAGGGTACAAACCTTCATCGATCCAAGGGCAAAATATAATGTCAATAACAGGCAATGACATCAAGAAAACCATTATTTAGTCTAATGAAACCAACTGAAACAAAAACGGACAGTTATTATCACTGCAAAGTTTGTGTTAATATAAGCCACAAGCTCCCTATTGAAAACAGTGCCATTAGATCAGACAAGCAAAAATGGCAATTCAGAAAAAAATCTGATGCACAGGAAATTATCCAGTTGAAAAAAAAGCAAAACAAAAATTGAGCTGACAAAAAGCAAAACAAAAATTGAGCTGAAAAAAAAGTGTTAACATCCTCCGACGAAATTCAGCAGCTGAAGTTTCAATATGATGAAAAAAAAAACGAAATACTTCAGAACCAGAAACTAAAAAAATAGAGCATAAATTCAACTTCCAAAATCGATTCGATAAAACAAGAGCTTCAGGAAAATTTACAACACGAAAACGAGTTCTTTGGACTTTTAAACATTACTTTCGTTTAATCTGCGTGGTAAAATTTTTTGGCGAAAAATGAGCAAAAAAACAAAAAGCAATAATTAAAAAAATGAAAAGAAAAATCATTTATATCTGAAATGCTTTCAAATTGGCTGAAATTTCAAAAAAAAAAAACATTTTTTCATGAAATTTTTCAATTTTATTTTCAATTTTGCTGAAACTTCTTGCTTCGTATTTGTTTGTATCGGAAGAAATTCATAAACATCCTTTAATTACCGAGCGGCACAAATTTTTGGGTCGAAACCTGTTGCGCCGAAAGCAACACTGTTATCATAAAAAATTTCATGAAATTTTAAGTTTTTACAACCCCTCTATATTAAAACGTAGAAACCTCGGCAAACATAATTTTGCTTCGAAATTACGCAATATTAGTCGACTAAGACGAAATAACAAAATGTTTAAGTAATTCAAAAAAAAAGTCAGTTATTGTAAAAATTCTTTAAATTGGAACAAAACCCACGCTCTAGAAAGCCAATAAAAAACCTGCCAGATTCAAAAGCAGTTTAAAAAACGAAAAATGACCCGAAAAAAGCTAGAAAGAAAACCACGAGCACAAAAAACAATTGCAGAAGTTTTTTTGAAAAACGAATTACAACCTGAAACAGTCTTTACCTAATTACTACTTAAATTATGAGTTTTTTGAACTTCAAGAATGTGAGCATGTCAGCAGTGATGTTTACCATACCATTCTTATTAAAAACAAAACGATTCCAAGATAATGACAACTAAGCCGACAAAAGATAAGCAGACAAATTATTAGCCGACAGTTTGAAAAAAAAACAGGTCCTGACCAGATTCCAACCCAGGACCTTTGCCGGTCCAGGCATATTCGTTACCTCCAGGCTAAGTTGGCCGGGAACGCTAAATTTGACATGTAAGTGTTTGATATTTTTGAATTGGTTATATCGATGCGGGACATACCCTCAAAAAATGGACTTTGTCCAAAATTTGTTGTTTCTCTACTAAAATAAGTGAATTGAGAATTTTTGAGATTTTGGATTTTTTCTGAAGACATAAACTTTCTCTAAGAAAGGATTAACTGCTTTATCATGAAAAAGTTGTGCAGCAGCATCGTTCGATTGAAATGTTTCTCAGACTTTGATTGGGTAGTTTTTAAGAACACTCAAAAAACTTCTCAAAAACGGTCAAAGTTCCAAAAAGCTGATTTTCCGAAACCTGTAAACTTTTCTTCTAAAAGCAGCTCGTGGCCGTTAAAGTAAAGAAGATTTCCAAAATCGTATTTTCCTATTGAAAATAACCTGAGAATTGGCAGTTAATTTTCGAGTCGAGCAAAAAAAACTTCCAAAAACCAGTCAACGTTTGAAAACTCTCACTAGTTTGAAGGTCATAATTTTTTTCTAAAGGAAAATGGACGTAGCAAATTACAAAGGTAAGTTTCCATCAAACTGGTGAATCAATTAAACTTATGATAACAGATTTAACGCAAATTCCAAAAAACGGTCAACAAATCAGACAGTGGACATTTCCGAAAATCATAGCTTTTTGTTTTACAAAATTTGCGCGTAGCCGCTTGTGCAGAAGCGAAGCCCCCAACCTATAATTTCGATTGAACCCAAAAACCCAGGTTTCGCATGGTATTTCTCGGGAACAGGGTAGTTCTCAACATATCAGATGGTTAACTCAGGTTTGGCAGGGTAGTTCTTGAGAACAGGAGAGTTCTCAACATATCGAAGGGCTTTTTCGGTTAAATTCATAAATTTATACAGAGGCGAAGTTGCACTTCGCATACACAAGCACAAATATGACCGATAACGCTACTGGGAAAAACTGAATGAGTAAAACTTCGAGTCTACAAGTGACGCACGCCAATTATGAGTCTACATAGTTGCTAAGTGGCGCAAGCCAATTATGACACATTAGCAGTACCAGTCAAATTGAAAAAAAGAGAAAGTTATCAACTAATATGCCTCAATTTATAGAGCGGACGTATTTTAATTAGTATACGAAAAAGTTCATTAAAACATCCGAACCTGCTCAGGTTCGAACCCTCTTATTTTGCTGCTGGTCTCCTTCCCTACCTCTACGCTACAGAACCATGATACCTTGAAGCTAAAACGCTATCTGTAATATAATAGTCTGTGTTACCATCCTTAGCATTGTCTGTACTTAATACCTGGATCAAAATAAACACTTTCAAAATGAACATTTTGTCGCAACAATTGCATCGCAACAATATTTGCGACTTAGTTTAGAAAAAAAAAGAAAGTTCATAGTATAACACAAGCTATGCTTGTGTAAAAACGCTCAAAAATAAAAAAACGACTTTTCTGAAGACGATTCCTTAAAGTATAAAAAAAATTGGCAGAGAGCTCTGATGCAGGGAAGAGTCATACTATTCGTTATCTCCATCGAACCCACAAAAGTTTAAAAAATCGAAAAACGGTCTAAAAATTTCAGTATTCCAAGGTCCATAATTTTTTTGTAAAGAAAATTTGGGCATAGCCACTTATTGAGGGGAGGTTTCCAAAGCCACTCTATTGATGGAGACAACAACTCTTATTTGGTAGGTTAGTTATTGAGATAACGAAAAAAAAAATCTGAAATATCGGGCAAATATTCCCCCACAGATTTTTTCGAAGGCTGTAGACAGTGGTAAGACAAAAAGAGACCATGTGAGTATGCAAGCACAAAAAGATGAAGACAGTCTGTCTAAAGATACCGTTTTTGAAAATCGGTAAAGGGATTTTGAGAAAAAAAACTAAGTTTTTTGCGAAAAGAGATAAAACATTCGAAAGCGTCAAAAAAATATCCAATCCCAAATAAAATATCCAATTTTCATAATACCTGTTTTTATCGAGCAGGCACTCTGTGCAAACATGCCATGCAAGACTTCTGAAATTCAAAATAGAAATTGAACAATTTTACGAAGCGGAAACAAGGCCGACAATTTCATTTCCCCCTTTAACTTCCGTGGTATCACCACTCACCTGGTTAATAGTAATAATAAACTTGAACAATAACAACTGAAAAAAAGCGAAAACAACGTAACTCTTATTGAAAAAAAGAGAAATCAATACGAATTTAATAATTTTCTTCACTTCGCCTATTACACGGTTTTGAAACCGATGAATCAATAAAAAACCGAGGAGTTCCAAAAAAATGCATAACTGCATTTAGAAAAAAAAACTCCTAAAACTTTACCAAATTTACTGATCTAGCTCTTGAATAGAAGGCATTCAACTACAGCGAAGACAGCATGCATCCAGCAGATCATTTCTGTACACAAACTCTTGAACAGAGGAGTCCAATACCATGTTGCTATATCATTATAGAACCTAATACATGGTTTCGAATTTATTTACTCTGCCATCAATTCTTCTGACAACTACGATTTTCGAGAAAAAGGATACTTAAGGGGTTATATCCTAGATTCCTTGTCCTCTTTCGCTCGAGCGTGTCTAAATTTTTGCGTTTCATAAAATACAAATAAGACTGATTTAATTAATTTGATAAATATACACAAATTATTTTATTAAGTTACAATTTTTAACACAAAAAATTATCAACATTCAAATTGAAACCACCTGATCGAATCTTATACGTAGTCCTATTACATGTTTTAACACCTTAATCACATCACACAGCTCAAAATAAACATGCAATGAAAAACATTGTTTTGCATTATGAATTGGACATCAGCACTTTTGGTACGTTACACCATCGTTGCTAAAACTAGCTCTACTGCTCAAAATTTTATGCGGGAAATCACATGTGTCGATTGATTACATTATAAACTCATTCTCATCAAAATTGGGATACAGATATTTATAAAGTTTCTACATCTTGGCGCTCTCAGCAAACAAGCCTTCAAATCTTCGGCTGTGTTAAGTCAAAATTTGGATATAACGGTACTTTTTGAACGGGCATGAACTAGTACGTAACTAGCACGTAGTTGCTATTACACAAGCACGTGATCACTATTACGTAATATGTTGATTTGTTCAGCTGTGCAGGATGGTTTCGACTGCTTCGAACACGTATTTGAGCACGTCAGGGAAGCTTCCGTTCATGGCTATTCCAACTGAGCCGTCCTGGTTGAACTTGAGCTCCATGAGGACGTAGATGTTGTTGATGAGTTTGATGGACATGTAGAACACAGTCACTCCCTCGTGGTTGACCTCCTTTGCCGTGAACACATTGTTGGCCGCCAATTTACCTAGAAAACAGAAAAATCATAATGAAAAGTGTTCTACATTTTCTAACTTTTTCAATTCAGTCCGTTAAGTTTCCTCGCACATAAACTTTCAGATTTTCTATTTCAACTCAATTGCAATTTCATCCCAAATTTTTACGCAGACCTTGGGGCTGCTATATATTGTTTAGTTACAAAAACAGAAACTAATTGAATGTTCATTCCATTAACTGGCCTCAATAAGTCTTGTAACGATGAGGTCAGAGCGATGAAGCGGTAGAGGCCCAACTCATTATATTATATTCCAAATATTTCAAAGAGCTTTTTCAAATACCTTTAATATCGTGCTGGGAGTGTGTTAGAAAGAGTGTCTTCTTCATCTCGCTGGCACTGTTAAATCCCTTCCACATCTCCACGTAAGTCCTTCCATCCAGCACTCCATCTGCTCCAAAGTACACATTCCAGGGCACCTGGGTCGCCAGGTAGAACACACCCACATTCGTCTTAATGGCCACCTGCACAAACAAGTAAAACGGTTTCTTTGGATGAAATTAGCTGCGGTTTTTGCAATTGGAAAGAAATTCAATGCATAATACAGAACTGAAAAAGACGAGACACTAAATGGACCAATCGGTCGACGAACACTGCCCAACAGATTCTGAGTATCAACATTTCACTCAGCTAATATAATTTAACATTATAACAAGGCTTGATTTTTAATTAGTTCAACAAGCTTTGATTTATTAGACAACCGATTGTTTAAATACTTATTGTTCCGACCATTGAAAATGGGGAAGAAATTTGTGTTCGGGTCTGTTTTAATTTTTTCTTTTTGCTTTCCCCGCAAACTCAGGTACCACAAATAATTATCGGACTGGGATGAAAGATATTTCATATTTAAGCCCTTATAGTCGTGATTAAAAGAACTTAGAAAATTTTTTTCGCAGTGTCGATAAAAATCAGTTTAGAATTTTTGATTTTCGAACAAAGCGAGCCAGCATTCTTATCTTAATTTCTAAAAAGCTTCAAATAGCTTAATTTAAAAAGTATAACTTAGTTCAACTTGAGTAACGTTAGTTTAATTTGAGCATTTTCAAGTAACTTTCCAAAAAAAACTGATTTTCAATTAGCTTATTTTACTATGACCGTCGAATACACGTAATCTTCAGTTTTTCTTTCAGCTCCTTTTATCACAACACGCCGAAAAAAAAACTAAAATGATTTGAAAAACTTTGTTGTATTTTTTAAGACTATGGTCAGAACATTCTGTGCTACTTGCACAGTAACCAGCTATCCTTGTTTGATTTTCCTTTAACCGCAAACTTTGAGCTCAAGGTGACATGATTTACCGTAAACTCCTACTGAAGTAAGAAAAATTAGTCTCGTTTACCGTAACAGCCAACAAAATTACCTGGAGATTGTTCAATGGGTCCATCTTCAGAATAGCGCCTCCCTTCTGGATGGGGAGCTTGACGTCCAGACTCTGCTGTGGCATCAGTCTAGTCACGTTGAGGGGTCCAGCAGGCATGAGTCCAAACGAATTCTTGTTGAACTGGATAGCGAAGTCTGAGAAGTCTTGCATGGCCCGGTTTGCAAATGTCATGTCCGCGAAGATCGTCCCACTTTGCACTGTGAAACTTCCCTGGATCTCAAGTCCCTAGAAACAAAAATATGGAAATACTTCCAACTTAGGATTGTCTAAAACCATTTTTCAGTCAAAATAGAGACCAATTATTCTATCAGTTCTAAGCCTATTGAAAACTCAATTGACTCAATTTTAAAAAAAAATTGAAAAACAAAACATCACTATATTGGCATTTTTTAGCAAAGAAAAAGCTAGAACAGGATTCATCTCAAAAGTATATCAACCTTGTTGCTAGCAGCATTGAGCCACTCCTGTTTGGGTGGAGAGTAGAAAGCGAATCCGGGCGGGGCTGAGCTAGTTCCGAGGGAGAACAGGTCGTCCAGACCACCCATTCCACTGGCAGGAGGGACAGCAGGGGGCATTCCTGTTGCAAGATTAACAGTTAGACTGCGAAGTCATAAGTAAACAGTAACAAACTAAACAATGTACATTTCATTGAGGGTGGCAAAAACACGCTAAGATATGACACTAATTTTAAAGCACATCTGACATCTAAAAGATGTATCATACCGGTTGAACCCAAGGACGATGGCCCGCCCAGCAGACCTCCTCCTCCTCCGAGTAAATCATCCAGACCACTGCTGGCTGCAGCACCAGTGGACCCCAGACTACCTGGTCCAGCGGCGTTCGTAGGTCCAGTCAGGAGTGAATCCAGGCCCATCGAGAGGAGATCAATAGCGCCAGCATCTTCACTGGAGGATGCTCCGAAACTAGTCGGTTGATTAGAGGATTGCGAAGGACCTACAGAAAACAAAAACATGACTTCCACGATTTTTTTCATCGATATTTTACCAAACCATGATATATACCAGAAAACAGACATTAAAGAAAACTCGGACTTACGGGTGCTATACATAGATTTCCGTAAAGCCTTCGACAAGGTCGCACATCAATCACTTATATCAAAAATCGCAGAGACAGGAATTGGAGGGAAGATCCTACAGCTGTTGACCAGCTACTTGATATCAAGAAAACAATGTGTCAAAATCAACCGAAAAAGATCCCCAGTCACGCCTGTCACAAGAGGGGTACCGCAGGGTTCTATACTCTGCCCTTTCATATTCCTAATATACGCGGACGATCTCCCTGACTCAGTCATCCCAAACATATCATTTGGTTATGCAGACGACTTCAAAGTCATTGCAAAGAACGAAGAAGCCGAAGCCCTGGCAACCCAATTCGAAAAATGGAGTATCGACAACCAAACGGTAAAGAACATGGAAAAAAAGCGAAGTGCTATGTATAAAAGGAGAAACAGAAACTGACAGAACGACTGATACCAAACTTGGTACTGTAAACTCCCAGAAAGATCTAGGCGTGATAATGGCGAAAAGCCTCTCGAGGAGCGAAAACAGCAAACGAAGGGTCAGCAAATCATGGCGGGAGTTCTTTAACATCAAATGAAACATCTCGTCACACACAAAGCTTGAAACAAAACTGAATGCTTATATCGATTATCTTGTCCCAGTCATTTCATATGCAGCACAGGTATGGTACCCTTCCAAATCTGAAAAGAAAGAAATTGAAAAGGTACAACAAAAAGCAACATCATGAATACCAAACGAAACAATTGGATACAAAGAAAGACTACGAGCCTTAAAAATGTTGCCACTATCGATGTACAATGAACTCCCTGACATACTATCCTTCCAGTCAGTGATGGACGGTAAATACAACGTCAAAGACGAATCAATCCCAGTATTTCTGAGGAACAGCACCACGAGACAGAGCAGCGATTTCGAACTCAGAAAAAATCGCTTTCACAAACAGATGAAAATTTTCGGACGAGAGCCCCTAAACTATTCGACATATTCCAATATCAATTCCGCGTCAACCCGACAAAGAAACAACTGACAGAAAGTTACTTCAACTACTTCAAAAACAGCTACAATCAACTAGACACATGCACCTGGCGTGTACTGTGCTCCTGTGGATCGTGCAACCCATATCAAAAACTCATGCAAGCTGAAAAAAGTTGTTCACACCTTTGGGCCATGAGCCCTAAAGCCTCTACTAGTACTACTCTATTACTACTACTAAACATTTCAAAATTGCTTTTCAAGTTCTGTGTTTTAAAACTTGTTGAAAATATGCTACGTATCATAATTCAATGCCTTAAACCTATAATTTAGATCGCTATTAACATCCCATTCTTTTAAAGAAGAGGAACTTAACTTTTGTGATTGCCGTATTTGTCTAAAACCAATGCTAGTGCCTTCTCGCTCTAGCTCAATATTTGTCTTTACTTTTACCAGCAACTTTTCGTCTTACTTTAGAAGGCGTCTTTTCTCAATTTAGAAATTGATAGTTAATCAGAGTATCAAAATCTCTCACCGAGATCTAGCAGGTCTCCGAGGAGGTCTCCGCTCATGGAGTCTGCAGTTGGAATGATGGATGGGCCCTGCTGCATGCTGCTGCTAGTCGAATTGTGGTCTGTCAGAGTGGCATTCGCATCTTGGGACGAAGAAGGACCAGATCTACCCACTGGTTTGATTCTTCTCATTTCTGATCACATATAAAACAACAATTAAGAAATAGAAGCTTCTTTTACGACATTTCTGTACGAAAGTTAGATACTTGAATTGGTTCCGCTTAAGCAGCATCGTATTACTATTTATTAGCGGGTACATTTGCGGTTCAGATTTTTCTTAAAAGCACTTTATTCGTCAAGACATGAAATTGAAAAATTTGTTTCATTTGAAATCAGTCAATAGCAACAAACCTGATCCTTCGATGAATGCAGCTGGAGGTTTGTGATAAACCGAAGCCAGGGAACCAATATGTGCAATCAGCTCATCAAGCAATGTCGGTTCCAGGAGATCAGTCTCCTCTGAAATGAGAGGCTTTTCAGCCAGAACAACCTCCTTAGCAGCCGCTGGATCTGTACTGAGCAACCTCCAGTATATATAGCCTCTGTCTCTCAGATCCGGATTATCACTATCTTGAGTGGCTAGAGACAAGACATTCTGAACCAGATCTTGAGTCTCGGTCGGTTTCTTCAGGAACAGTTTAACAATTGCAGTCAGAAGCTGCAACTGAACCTGAGTCGACTCGTCATGGAAACCTTCAAGGAAGGTTTCGAGAAGCTCGTCGGCATTGTCAATTCTCTCCGCGTATTCACCCAAAACCCAAATCATAGCAGCTCGCGCTTCAGGCTCGTCGAGTGAATCCAAATTCTCACAAAGAGTTGCTATGATACCTGAAACACCGTTTAAATTATTGAAATAAACTTTCTTCTTCATAACACTAAGCTACAATAAGGCGCGGATCTAGGAATTTCTCGAGGGGGAGCGGATCTAGAAATTAGGTCGACCAAATTGATTTTCTGAGCTCAATCAAACCACTATAAAGACCCTAATTTTACCAAAGTTTCTCCGCCGCAGGCCAAATTTTGAAAAAAGGCGTTTTTAGGCACTTTTTGGAAAATTTCGACCAAAAAATCGTGTTTTTTCGGCTCGCGCTCCCCGCTCAATGTTAGTAAAGATTGGCGCCAAAAGAGCCTTCAAAAAAATTTTAAGGTCAGTCAGCCAAAAATGGATATCTCAAAATAGTACAACGGGGGGACCCTTTGGGTCGGCAGGGGGTCGATTCTTGAGGGGGGGGGGGGGGGGGGGGGACGTCCGCCCCCCCCCCAAATTCGCTACTGGCTACAATTGTTTTCTAGCCTACAATCATTAGCGAGCCTAGGAGGTGGGAGTGCTATTCTGGTTCCCCAAATTTTCTTAAGGTCTCTTTGGTACCCTTTTCCGATATCCAGTTCTGGTTGAACAACATTAGAAATGGTCCAAATGCGCCTTGTTACAATATATACTAAAGTCAAACACTAGCACAAACTCTCGGAAACGGCATTTTCTCCTAGATATGATCATTCTATAAATTATTAATAAAAGGAAAAAATTATAATGCATAATTAACACAAAATGCTCAATCATTTTTCGCTCGTGCCACTGCCAGTAACACTAATATTGCGAACTGAAGAAGAATCAAAAGGATTTAATGAAATTCGACTTCAAAGCAACCTCGATAAAGTTAATAGTAGATTTCCACTCTCGCCAAAAAAGGTTTGTGCGCATCATTTCCAGGAACACTGTTGTGTTTTATTGAGATTCAACATCAAAGCAACCTTATATATAAACAAGACTGCTCGTATCAGGGCGAAGGCCTGAAAATTCCTACTGCCTTTTAAGGTCTATGGAGCATTAATAAGATGAAAAATTTCAAAGTAATAAAAGAAATTTAAACAAAATTTTGAAAAAATTTGAGATTTTATGTAAAAACATCCCCCCACACGTCATATTAAGTACAAAGCGATAGAGTTTGCGCCTATTAGCAAATCAATTAGGCATATAAGCTTCCTTGAACTACTTTGGAACGATTTCTAAGACAGATTAAATCTCGCTTACGCGTTAATAGCGCGAAATTTATCGCGCGTTAATTGTCCCAAATTGGCCAAAATGGCAATTTTTAAACCCCCATAACTTTACGAAAAATGATCACAGGTGAAATATCTTTTCAAATTCAAGCTCAGGACAACAATAGCTTTCGAATGATATAAAAAAAATTGAGTCAAAAACGGCTAGTTAAAAAGTCGAAATTTGTCTGAAGAAAAAAAAACCCACCCCGAGCACAAATATTCCGTTACCTTCGTATCGAAAGTCGGAACAACAAGGAAAGCCGATTGCTGTGCTAGTAACACAGAATACTCGGAAAATTTTCAGAATAAAATTCAAAAGTTTGTCTTGTTTTACGTGGTGTGATGATACATGTTGTTTAAGCCTAATTTACTAACTTTTATATATAAACGTTACTCGATGGCTTTACTCGCTCCAAAATAGACGAAAAATCAAATCGTTTTTCTCGACACTAGGAAAACTTTTGGGACATTTTTAATGTCGTTCAAATCACAATTAGGAGAACTTTTATATAATATATCACTCGACCCAGTCCGATGAATATTTGTGGTACCTGATTTTGCATGGAAAACAAAATGAAAAAAAAAACTAAAACACCCAAATACAAAGTTCCTCCCCATTTTCAATGGCCGGAACAATAAATTTATTTTTAAGCGAAATCAGAAACATTATAACCACCCATATATAACCACAAATTTAAACTTCACTGCATTTGAGAGCACTCCAATTAGGCCGTGATGCCTGCCGAGAAGAGCCTCCTTGAGCAAACAAACTTAGTCAAAAATCAAACTTATTTTTTGTTGTTGTTTTTCGTTGAAAAAAGAATCATTAGCTGAGCATTATCACAAATGCTGACTCATTATCACAAGATCTTTTAGTGCATACTCATAAACTGATTTAATAGACCTCCAAAAATTGCATCTACTTGCAATAAAATCATTCGTGAACTTTTTGCAGTTCAATTCAATTTTTTCTACATGAACCAGGAATTTAGTTTTTATCAACTACAATTGCAAAAGATTTGCCAGATTTTGGTAGATATTGTTTCTGAGATTACACATGAGCGGAGCGCAGCACCAATTGCGATAAATTCGAAAAACGAAAACCTAAGATGAGCGAAAAAAAAAATCGATACAGCCAAAAAACTAGATCTATCAAAACGAAGAAAGCTACTTTAAAAAAAACATGCCAAAACAATAAAAGTCAAATTAGCATGGAATTAAATTTTCGGGAAAAGCTGGAAACAGCTGAGCAGAAACCATTTAAGCCAAAAAAAACTCAAACAAGGCTCAAAAAACGAATTTAAAAAATTCAAGTCCGCTTGCCCTCAAAATACAGGCACAAGCACGCAAAACTTTTTCGGTAAATAAAACGAATGACGCAATATAAGGCCACTAAGCCAATAAAAAAATAGGTAGCAAAATTACAAATTTCGGTTTACAAAACAACGAGGAAAATTTCAATTAGCACAGACATTTAAAATGCTAACATACTCAAAATCTGCCTGTTGCGGCATTTTCAACAGAGTCCAGGAGATTAGTCCTGTGCTCAAACTTAATTAGAAAAAAGTCTAGTACGCGGTTGCAACATACGTGCTATCCCAAGTATAAACACAGAGGCCAAGCTGTGCTTCGCAATCACTATCGAGAACACGACAAAAAGCAGCTCTATAAAGTGAAACAAGAAAAATTAGAAATAAACCTCGAATTAGAAATTCAGCTACGACTCATATTCGATCAGCGACCTAAAAACTATGTGTTTCACACAAAAAACACTAGGCTACGGACGCTTAAAAATTCACATACACTAGCCACAAATAAAGCAGAGAACAGATGCTATGAAAATTCCAATGCTACAGATCGTGATTATAGCAAAAGTACAACCAAATAAGCTAATACTTTTAATGAACACTCTTATTTGCCAGTAAGGTTAAAAAAAGAGTACGTTCTAATAAACTAACGCTCGCAAGATCGCAAGTGTAAAAACGGGAGAAATCAACTTTTTGTCTTAATTTTTTTTTAATTTCGAAAGATTCAAGACAAAGCTCCATGTAAGTCGCGGACCAAAAATTTTTAGCATACTTGCTCCGTACTTAATTATCATCACGATTAGACTAAAATATCAACAGAGTTTTCAATTTTGGATAAAATTTTGTAATTCATGAGGAAAGCCCGTGCTGTCACAAGCAAGCCGACAAAAATAAGCAGACAAAAGAGTCCTCGAATCCCGATCGTTTGTCTCCACAGGCATGGCCGCAAGCTTTTCGCCAATTATGCAACCAAATTCGAATTACGTATGAATCAAGATATTAATTGTATCCGTTACTCTGATTTGTTAAGTTGTTTAAGCGAAAACAAATCTTTGCTCCGATTCGATAATGCTTACTCAAATTAGGAAAATGATAACATACTTCATGTTTTGGGGTTGATTTTGAGCAATCGGAAGTATGCGGCCAAAACAGTAACCATGTTATTAATCAACGATGAAGCGGTACACTCACCATGCAGCTGGTATAAAATGTACTGATTACCATGTGACCAGTCTTTGAATAAAGCTATTTACGAAAACAGTTTAGTGCCCGATCGCAATATCCTTGGTTGTCGCAAACATAAAAAAAACGGAAATTGAGCCGACGAAAATTAGAACGAAACCCAAAAACCTGAAAAATCAATCATTTTTCATTCAAAAATGTTGAATGAAAAAACTTGCCACGTTAAGGCTGTTCTATGGCATTTTCATATCACTCTTTGCACGTGTGAAAATAGCATAGTTCATGCAGATTTGTACAAAAAATCAAGACGAAAGAAAACCAGCAACCCGAAAAACAATTTTTCAACAAGTTAACAAGTGTCAAGGAACAAAGCAACCGAAAAAAAAAACTATCAAAGTTTTTTGACCTTTCGAAAACCCGGCTCTTCCCCCCCCCCCCACCTGCAAATTTTTATATTTGAAATTACTGTTCACTTTGTCCGATTGTCATGAAAATTGACGTGCAGACTAATTAGGCCATGACAAACATATTTGGTCTTCATAATTAACCTTGTAAAACCATTCACTAGACCATAAAGTTCATGTTTGATTGAGGTGGGGGAAAAGGAAAAAGAGCCGAAAACCCTATATCAGTTTAAAACTCTTTCAAAAACAATTTATGATGGACTGTTTTTTAAAACTAACCCAAATTAAAACACAGAGGCGAAGCTTCGCTTCAAAAACACTACGGAGAACACGACAAAAACTAGCTTTATAAGTGAAATATGACAAAAAAAACAAATAAGCCTTGAATTAGCAAAAAATTCAGCGACCTTAAGATTAAGAGTCACACACACTAACCACTCAGCAATGGAAGCCTAATAGTATATAGAAGATTAAACACTAGCCACAAATAAAGCAGTGAAATTTCCAAATAAGTGAGCACTTTTATTTGGAAGTCATCCACGCTAAATTTGCATGTAAAACATTGGAAAACCTGAAGCCAATTTACGTAAAAACTAACATTTCAAAAATATTACGATATACCTTTAATTTCTGAATTTTAATTTTTATTTCTGTAATTTACTGTTCGTTGGGTGAATTGAAAACACATCAACTGTGTTAATGCACTACCAAACGAATATCAAAGCACATGTCATTAAAAGCCGTAAAATGCCGCCAAAAGTGGGGTGGAAAAAAGAATACTCGTCCTATTACACTACGCTCGCTTGTAAACAAGCATGATCAATGAGCAATTTTTTCAGCGCAAATTCCGCTTTGATGAATGGAGAGCGCAAATTAATCCAATTCATAAAAAAATAGTGCATATATACCAACGTGCCTTTTTAAATGCATTAATATATAAGTCAATTCTGTAATTATTTGAGCATTTTACGACTTTTTCCTGAAAAAAAAACATACAAAATCATCAACACCTATATCAGTGAAAATCATTTCGTTCTTTATTACGACTTAAAATGAACAAAAAGGTAGTTTTTTTTTCAACTTTCAAAATTGAGCATATCAGCCTGCACGTGAAAGTAAATGATTTGTGAAGAAATTTGTTTACGGAAAAAATTTTAAAATACGGAAAAAATACATACAACTTTTTCATAAGGTAAATTTTTTTTTATTCCGTAGGGTAATCTTAAAAATAAAAACCAGTTTTGAAACAAGAAGTCGTTCACATTTTTTCGCGCCATTTGAACTAATATGTTGAGCAAAATTTCCCTTTCTTTGAGCAATTGCAATTGAACTGAACTTGATTAAAATTCAAAAGCAAACAATCAAGATTGGTGAGGACACATTTGAATTTTTCCTGAAAAAAAAACAACTCGACCTCTATATAAGTGTCTTCACTACGTTCAGTAGCACTCAATAAGCAATGACACTCAGATTGTGTTCATTTCATACCTTCGTATTTGTTCGGGTACTTTCGGAAGATGTCTTTGATTACAACTATGGCCTCCTGTACAACATAGTTAACTTTAGTCTGGATCAATTCAATCAGCGTCTGCACACACTTCTCAGCTGCACTTTCCACTTTTATCGCGCACCTGTTAAAACAACAGGGACGTGGACACATTTCATAGGCTTAATACAAATTTAATCTACGCAAACGGAATAAGTCATGTGGCTGACACCAGTACGATAAAAACTTATGACTAAGTCTCTTTACAGATTCCAGAAAAAATAACTGGGTTCAGAAAAAACCCAAACATTTCATCTTTTCTTATCAAGAAAACTAAAACGCGCGTTAATTTTATATTACAGTTACCTGGTATTTTATTAGCTTTGATTTCTTGCCTAAATGTCAGATGATCAAGGAAATCTTAAAATCGCACCTTCCGATAGCTCGGACAGCCTTCCTTACGAAGTCGACGTCCACTTCAGTGGCGTACTCTTTTAGTTCACTCAGCACACTGCCTATGTTCTGCTGATTGGCCAATCTAATCATGATGTCCAGCTTCTCCAACTTCACATAGATCGGGTCATTGTACTTCACGAAAAACACCTACAATCGCATGCAGCTGGTACTAAACATGGATCCATCAAAAAGCAAGCATGGAAGAAGAGTCCTACGAAATAAATAAGCATGCTTTTTCTGAAATTTTGAAGGTCTGACAGCATTGTAGAGATCTAGCTATCATAACTGTACCCCATTGCATTTTTTCTTTATCCCTTATCTTTCAAGAGAAAATAATATGAATAAATTTGTGACGGTACTGCTCTGCGTTTGAATTGACCAACAACAAAAACTGAAACTTGAGTAGCAGTTCTAATTTGCGCTACACGATTCATTCTATGCTAATTAATGCAATTCGTTCCAAAATAGAGTTCAAATCTAGTCCGAAATTTCCAGTCTGTAATCGAGAATTAGAATCCAAATTATTCTCCCTACCTTCATTTCGTTTCGCAAAACTGCGGGTCGCTTCTGGACGATGAGGTTGATGTTACGCAGTGCCACATACTGGATCTCTGGCTCACTGCTCAGAAGAGTGACCAGAGGAGGCGCCAGTTTCTTCACCAGGTTAGCCACTGCATCTTCTCCATTCAACATCTCCAGCAGCTTCATTATCACCTAAATCGAACAGTTTAAGAAAAAAAGGAGGTTAACCGACTTAAGAAAATAATAAAATGTGAAAGATCGGTAAAATGATGGCCTCTCAGACAAAACTTGTAACGTAAAATGACATAGTTTCATGCAAAAGTAATTAAAAGACCCTTGCTCTCAGGAATACAATTATCTCATCAAATATATCGAAATAATGCACAAGAAACCATTTCAAAACGCAAAGTTAAAAACTCTCGAGTTATCGAAAAACCTTGGGTCTTCGATAATGCTTACTTTCAATATGAATTCTAGTAAAATCACTGATTAAGCTTCGAAGATGACTTTTCCATATAAGTCTAAAGGCTTTATCTTGATGAACGATCGTCTGAAAAAATGATTCTTGCCTTGATGCAGGAGAGCACTACAGCTGAGTTAGCATGTGAGAGTCTCGGCGTGACCCGATCACAGATGCTCTGTGCTTCGTTTTCGTCTTTCGGGTCGTAGTTGGACAACGAATCCAGAATGAACACCTGAAACGAACAAACTGAGAGTAATGGAAAACCGCTCCGTTTTTTTAAAATTATTTTTCAACAACAGAACCACGAATAAGTAACAAAAATGCATATAAAAAGTATTTATGCTGTCGAGGTCTTAATTAAAATTAAGGCTTCAATAACTTAAGGCTTCAATAACTTAACTTTTCAAAATCTTAATTAGCCTACTTTAATTTAAGAAAAAACGTTATTGAAAGTTCCACAAGACAATGTTAATTTGTAGAAAATAGAAAATCATTAGACAGTTATCATTTGAATCCTTCTGAAGCATATTGATTTATTCAAAAAAATGCCGTCGTATGTAGACTAAAAATACAAAAAAAAAACAAGAATATCATTCTTTGATTTCTAAAAATCAAAGAAATTGAATAAGGGGGACTTGAACACATTTCAGAGAGATCAAATTGATAGTTTGAAGAAAATGAAAACAAAGCGTACAAAAAAAACAAAAAGAAGAACTAGAAGCCAAAAATTTTGAAAAACCAAAATACAGAAATAGCGGAAAAAACAAGGTCTGACCAGAACACACAGCCTGGACTTTTAGAACCTCAGGCAAGCGCTTTGCCTCTACACTAAGTGCGCAGCTACCTAGTGTAAAAGATATTCGATAATAACACACCATCAATACGATAACATCTCGGTCGATAAATGCAGATTTAGTTGCAAGGAGAAGGAGTGGTTATGATTCGTAATAAACGAATACGGCACCACCCCCATTCAGAAGAAAACAGATGCCACAGCTTTTCTACACCATCCGAAGACGTTTAAACAGCTCAAAAGCTTCATGAGATCTATCCATCACCTGAACAAATTTATCCTAAGCTTGGCCCTAATATGCACGCCACTCCGACCACTATTATTAACGTCAAACAAATTAAACTTCGAATGGAAGGCAGAAAACGAGAAAAAATAAAAAAAGCGGTTAAAAACATTACCGAGAACAGACATTTCGTAAGCAATATAGAAACACGCAATGTGTGCGACGCAAGTCGTGCCGGAATCGGAGCAGCCCTCGAACAAGAAACACCGAAAGTTTGGGCAACAATTGCGTAACGTCAAGTTTCCTATACTCGTCAACAAAAAAAATTCAGTTAACGAACTGGAAGTTTTAGCCATAGTACGGGCTATTGAACATTTTAAGAACTACCTATATGGGAGACGATTCGCACTGATTGCAGCCCACCAAGCGTTAGTAAGCGCCCTACAAAGTAACAAGTAACAGGGGAAATAAAACCAACCAAAGTAAAATAACTAGGTGGATCGACAGACTTATTCCGTTCGATTTTGATATTAAACACCTAGCAGGTAGTAAAATGGGGTTAATTGAAAACCACAACCCCCAGCATACTGCGATAAAAAATTTGTGGTCGCACTGATTGACGATTTCGTAAAAAGCTCAGAACTTCAAGATAGCAGTAGTCAAAACATATCTTTGAACGATAATCCAATTGGATATCTAGGCACTTTAGAGCTCGACCGGAACGAAAACTTTGCAGCTTCAAAGTCAATTCACACACAAACTGCATTCACTGTTAAAAGTCACTTGCTGAGTACTACAGATTCGAAAAACATTGAAATTTCAAACGTTCAAAATTCAAGTGATATTTCCGTCCCAATTATGGACTAACCCTTGAGACAAGCATGTCATTGTCACCGTTTAAGCGTATCTTACGCAAATGCAACAGCTGCACACAATCTCAGCTTACATTCGCACCTTCTAATTACGCCTCCTTCAATGACTTCCTAGCTAAACCGCCACCGCCCCAACTGTCTATCAGCGATGTGTCACACCAGGTGATTACCTCTAACGAAAGTTTCACATTTGTTAGAGCAATAAATGACAAAGCAGATGCTATCTGCCAAACTTTGCAGAACGACGAGGCCACCGGAGAAAGGATCGACAACAAATGTCAGACACTAACACTCGAGGAGGAAGACACCCCGCTTTTCCAGAAAAACCTGCGAAAGGTTATGGATATAGGCTTTATTGCTGCGGCAACAAATAGAGACTGAAACTTGTCTCCTTTCATAAATATGGTCAAACAACAAATATTGGACAGCCTAAAAGACTGATAAGGACTCTAATTTCATAATGTTAGACGCCGCCTGTCAGTCAGGGACAACATTCTACTGTACGACGACAGAGTCGTTATCCCCAAACAAATGCGAGCTACACTGGTGGATGCCTTTGAACTAACCCACTAGGACAAGGCGGCATGTTATAGGGCGGCCAAACATGTGTGGTACCCGTACCTCCATCGCGATATAGTGTCCACTGCACAAAACTGCAAAAAATGTCGTGATACGGGTAAGAACCTTACAGTTATCTCCGGTAAAAAAAACACTAAACCACACTCGACGCGGTGGTAGAACCAAACAAAGAAATTCAGTTGGATTTCGCGCGTCCGTTACTGGACGAGAAGGTCTATATATTAAAGGGGGGTGATCGGTTCTCACGATTCCCCTCGGCAAAAGAAGAAACTAAAAATAAAAAAACCTAGAAAAACTCAAAACACGCAAACCAATAAGGCCACTAACCAAGCAGGAAAAACAGTAACTCGAGAGGGCACCACTTAATTTCTCAAAAGACCGTTTCAAAAGTCCAGCACACACTATTGACCCTAAAACGGGACAGCGACCAGAACAAGTCGCCAGAAAAACAGGAACCATTGCACGTAAAACAAACAACCCAAGCATATTCGGGGCACAAATTAAAATTATTGAAAACGGGTCAATATTAAACTACTCTCCACACACCGCGTGGATAAGAGAGGACGGTAAACAACCCAGAGTTATTAGCCATGGTCTTGCGTTCATTCCGGATCCTAGGGTTGATGGAAAATGTAGACCAGCGGCCTTAAAGGATTTCGTAGCGTATGTACACATACCGAGAGCAAAACCTCCAGTTTCAGGAAAAACAACGCCTGACCGGAACATAACGAAGGATGTTACGCCAACAACCATAAGCCCCAAACGATCGCTACCGAAGTCAGTAAAGAAAGTTATTCAACAAACTCTCAACCGCCGGGCACTGGGACGGAAGAAACTCTTCAAACCGTTCGACAACAAAACCAGACAAGCCAAACAAACAACCAGAGCTAATACAAAATAACCAACGGCAAACTAAACCATCAGGAAAAACGAGCCCGCAAAAGAAACCTAAGGTCGATCTCAGTAGATTTCAATTTGAGTGCGACACCTCAATTTCGTTATCATCGGATTCAGATTCTAATCGAAAAACACCATCCCCGAAAAAACCGGCTGCCAAACGGATCCATATTAAAGCCACACTCGAACAAATATCACCAGAAATTAGACGCTCTACAAGACCCCGAAAAAGCACACTCGCCTCGAAATTAGGGGACACAATACCGATAAGCCAAATCTCCGATACCAAAGAACCCCTGATAACAATCTGCAGCATTCAACAATCCAACCCGGACAACAGTACACCAAACAGATAGGTGAACAACATAATGACAAACGCTAGTTCCTCACCATATATCCGGTCAGAGGACATTTCTAGTACGGAAATCCACATGGATACCGAGACACCCGAAAAAACCAGACACATCATGACAGAACAACATTCAGCAAATATCGCCACAAGCTCCCGGTACATACTGGACAGGCCAAAGACATCTGAAGAGGCACTTAGCAAAGATTGCAATGAGGCTATGAACATCCTCCGTTTTATCTCACCGATCCGGGGAAACTCGATGACGTTCCGCAGAGAACGAGAAACTTCGAACCAACCGTATCAGAAGAACACTAAAGATCATCAGGACGACCAACGCAAGGATGATGGCACAAAGACAGAGGAGAAGGACAAAAAAGAAAGCAACAAAGACAGCGAGAAAAACTAAAATTGATTTTTTCAATTATTAAAAAAGAGGGGAATGTTATCCGTACGGATATTATAGTTAATGTCCATTAGGGTTAATAGACGATGAAGGTATAACAGAAACATTAAAACTCTCAACTTTGCACCAGCTGCGATACAAATGATGAGCTATGATAGTTTCAGACGGTAAAACCATTAACCAGGGGCGGATCCGGGATTTTCTCGAGGGGGGGGGGCAATTTCAAAAAAAAGATAGAACATTTTGCCAACCTTTTAACCTTTTTAGCCCCACCACACCAGCCCCCTCACCTAAATCCACCCCTGTCATCAACCATAGCATTGGGTTAGCCAAGAGGGGGTTAAAAAGTGAATCAAAAGAATTTCCCATATCCTACCTGTCCCCATTCAGTGCACTCGTTCAGTGCGGTTAGTAATTTGTTCACACTAGACGGAGTCATCTCTGGTTCCGCATTGATCTCGGCCAGCGCAGCAACTGCATTAGCAACCACCATCGGGTTCGAATCCGAGATTAGCTCCATCAGTTTGTCAATGAAGCCTTGGTCTTTGACTAGGTCTGCGTTTATGTCATACAGCTTAGCGACGCAAATAGCGGCTGTTTTGCGAACATATGGATCCTCGTCTTTCAAGCATCGTCTTAGGGGTTCGCACAAATATTCGGTTATCTTTTCAACCCTAAAGTCAAATTATTTCTTCAAACAATTCACAGCAACACATGCTTAGTTGAACAATACTAATCTCAGGATTAAAAAGGCTATATTAGACTAACAGTTATAACTGACCGATCATTTAAGCCTCCAGTAATAGTCAACTCTGGTCATATCTTTGGGTAATTTACCTGATGCATCCCATGGTTCTAACAGCCAGTGCTCTGATCAGTGGATTGGTGTCTTCGCAATCTTTCACAAAAGTATTGACCTAAAAAAAGAATCCATTCTAGGTTAGAATCAATTGGAACTATCAAGCTGCAGCATGTCTAAAAATTGTCGAGTTGAAAGCAGCCCCTAAAAGCATGGCCAACACAGATGGAAAACAGTCAATAAACGCAAAAAAAATGACTTAATTTTTAATAAATCTCAATTTTTGAAATTCAAAGAAAACAACAGATAGCCTTAAAGCTTTTCGAATTTCTAGAACACTTAATGATTGCCACTTTTTTTCGAAAAAAAAACAGTTAATTTGAGAAACCGGATAGATAGGGAATGTCTTTTATTTCGCTGAGACAGAGACGAGGCGGAGCTTCGCATCACTTGCGATGCAACGCAAACGAACCATTGAAAGCAAAATGAGACGGAAATAGCAGAATCGAAAGACATTGCGTTACACGATATTTAATGGGAAAAAAATAAGAAGAATGCAAAAAAAAAAATAGAAAAAATAATTTTAAAAAATCTGAGTACTTAATTTCTGGAAAACTTTCTGACATTCTGACATATTAATTCAAAAAGTGATTTGAAAAAGCTGAAAAAACTACAGCTACAAAGTTCATAAACATCCTTTAAAAATCATTTACCGAGCGGCAACAAAGGCGACAAACTTGGGGTCGCAACATGTTGAGCCGGGAAAAAAACTGTTGCCATAATAAATCGTATACGGATGAATTTTGCCCTCGAAGTTACGCAATATAAACTGACTACGCTATAAATTAAACTGAAACTCTTTAACATTAAAAAAAAACACAAAATCAGACTAGGTAAATTTATAAATTTCTGAAATTTCGGGTATAGTAAATTACTTTTAAAATTGGACAAAGACCCATGAATTAACAAGTGAACCAATGAAAAAATATACCAGATTTGAAAAAATTGTGTTTAAAAAAAACGGACCACAAATTGACAAAAACTATAGGGATAAACGACGAAACTGGAAAAAAATGACAAAATAATTACAACCTGAAACGGGCTTTACCTACATTATAGTAGTTTAATTTGAATTTCAAGAAGTTGACCATGACATAAGATGACTCAGTCCAGGAGATGAATGATTTCCGTGAGCAAAATTAATGACGGGAAAAGTCTAGTAACCGATTGCAATACCCTTGCATATCGCAAAGGTAACACAGCCGAAGCTGCGATTCGCTAACACTGGCGACAACACGACAAAAAAGCAGCTCTATAACGTGTGATAAAGAAATGCAGCAATAAGCCTCGAATTAGTCAAAATTCGGCTAAAATTCGGATTCGATCTGCGACCTACATAACTGAAGTTTGCACTTACCATGCACTTACCACTCAGCCATGGACGCTCTATTTAACATGCACTTACCACTCAGCCATGGACGCTCAATAAATCACAAAAACTATCAGACGGCACAGAACAGGTGCTCTGAAATTTCCAATACTACAGATTGTGATTCTAACAAAAGTGCCACCAAATAAGTGAACACTTTTATTTGCGATTTAGGTTTGAAATCTTGCGAAACAAACTGCCTAAAGTTTCAACAAAAAAAACAATCATTTTTTGCTTTTCCAGCGACACAAATCAAAGACTCTAAGACAATAAAATATGCGTCGAAACCATTTTGGCCTATTAAAGTTTTTCAGTGAAAATTAAACAAAAGTAAACCAAGGAAAAAACACCAAGGAAAATGTCTGGTCTATTATTTTGACAAACTACAGGAGTAGCATTTACGATTGAAACTGCTGACAGCACAAGAAACTTTCCAGATGAGGCAACTAAGCCGATAGAACATGAGCAGATAAAAGAATGTCCCACAATTCAATTTTCCAAAAAAAAATCCAATTTCACATATTCTGAAAAAAAAACACAAATTCGGAAGCCCAGACCTAAGAGTACAAAGGAAACCGGGTAAACTCTGGGCAAAGTTAGAAGGATTCTCGAAGTTGCTATGATTCACTAAAGCAATTTCACATTTCGTACAGATATGTAAGAAAAGTTATTTACGGAAAAAAGTCTAGTAAACGATTACAAGACGCTTTGCTCTCGCAAGTCTAATAATTTCAATCCATTTTCGAAATTAGTTTTGTGACATTTACACTTTCGCTGTAGGACTGTTGTGTTGGCCTTCCTTTGATCACAGAAAACAAACTGAAGTTAATAAGCAATTGAAAATCAAACCGTGAAAAATAAACCTGAGCCCGATCAAATTTTAAGACTGTTAAAAAATCGTCACAATCTATATAATATTCTGAACTACATTCATCCAATACAATTTTTTAATACAATTTTTTAGGAAAATTTATCAATTTTTTTTTTTTTAATTAAATGTAGTCAACGAATTTCGGTCTGGCCAAAGCGGTATTTTTAAAATCTTTACTAACTGCCATGATGGCCATGTCTGGCTGACTCTTGGCGTAGTTCATCAAATAGAGATACACTAGCTTCTTTAGTTCCAAGTTGTCTGTCTGCATGCAGTTAACCACATCAGGAAACAGCGCAGACACATCCTTTCCCACAGTCATCGAAGCAATCACCTTAAAAATCAATCAAAGTCGAATACAGGATTTTTACGAGGGTATTAAATTCCAAGCAGTTACTCCTGTGCTTAACTACTAGGGGGTCAATAGTATTACAAAAATCTCAGTTGTGAACTAAATCATTATCATGGTGTCTTAAATTATCGGCGGCTCTTAATGGGAGGGCAATAATTAGGCACCTGAGAGCAGTCGACCTTTTTCAGTCGGCCAAATTGACTATCCGAATTCTTCTAGAAAAATCACCAGACGTAAAATATATCCGGGCTCTTTTCCACTCCCCCCCCCCCACATTTGAAATTCAATTTTGAAAAACTATCTTTTTACGTTGTCATAATGTAATGAAAACTTGCATGGTGAACTTATTGTCATCGCACATTCAGGTATAATAACGGTAAGACAATAGAAAAGAGCCTAAACTCAGAAACTATGCAAAAAAATCGTTTTTTTTGCCGTTTTCAATACAATCAGACATTCCATATGTGCAAAATTAACAGTTTTGAAAACAAGGAGGGATCTAGAATTTCTCGAACTTTTTTCGAGTCCGCCTCCCTTCAAAACAATCAAAACAAGTATATATTGGCACTAAATAGACTTTCAGCAAAACTTTAGGGTTTCTTGGCCAAAAATAGATAGTACCAAAGGGAGAGAAAGCTTAATTTCGATGATGAGCGGTTCTAACTCCTGAGGCAGTCGTACATGAACATGCTGAAAATCAGAATTAATCACCTTTTTCACGGCCTCCTTTTTCTTCTCTTTCTTGTCACTCGTCAGTTCCGCTTTTAGTTCGAAGATCTCCCCCTTCTTGGTGGTCGCAAAATATTTAGAGTCAGTCATGTTTTTTCTAAAAAATCGACCATTTACATCTCAAAATTCAAGAGAAAATCAGCCCTGAGAGACCAAGATGATGATCAAAAAATAGTCGTAACATAAGTTGAATTATGTGAAATTCTGTACTATAAATACAATCGAGCCCACCAGAGAAACTACTCATAACTAACAATACTTTGTTCCATTTGCAAACTAAAACTCAGCGCAGCTATTATCTAATCACTTTCTAAGACTTCTTGAAAATCTTCGATCAGTTAGTGTCCGTATTTCTGGAACTCCCATTCGCGATTGTCCAGGGGACAAACTTGTCTAGTTTTCAGCCATCTGGATATGCAGTGGAAATGAAACGCATGATTGCACACTCCCCAAGCAACTGTGCATTCTTCAGCGGTGTTTGAGCCCTGGTTAGCTTGGCACTCTATGCACAGGTCCATGATGTGGTTGCGACAGATAGCACAGTTGTCGACTACCAGATCCCATGACCAGAGAGCGACTGCATTCCACTTCTTCACGTCGAATCGTTTCTTCTGCGAGTCTTGTGCACCTGAGGGTCCTGACTGCACCTCCATTTCGCTTCTGAAAAGCAGACATTTAAATCTTGTCACCCTTGACTTAACTTACATCCAAACTTTGGTTCAAACTTAACTTCACCCACTTTCTGCTTCAAAAATCATTGAAACCGCTTTTGATTCAATGAACAGAAAAGATGACTTTTGACATTAAAAGTCATAAAACTAAAAAATAAGTCTCCATTCCAGCAACCAAGAAAACTCCAGAACAAAAAGCATCCAATGAGTGAAAATGAAAACAGCTCACAGAGAGAATGACTCAGTTAACACTTCACATAACAGTTTTGTGAATTCTTTGACACAATTTGACGACGAATCGACTTATGGAGAGGTAGAAGAAGAGCTATCCCAGCAACATGTTCCACCTGTTTTTATATCGCTGGAAACAGAATTTGAAATAGAATCCGCGGAATATCTGAAAGACAAAATCCGCGATCAGATTTTATTCCTTGAAGCTAACTTTAGACCCTTGAACCGAGAAATCTATCGACTGGAGAACCTGATTTTGATGGTTCACAATGAGGGTAAAAATCTCGAAGAAGATTTATTGAAAGCGACTTCTGCCGAAGAAAAGGAAGCAATTGAAGAAGACTTGCAATTTTACGCTTCTGAATACCAAAGAGTCGTTGACCTGCATAGAAACGGACAGTACCTGCTGAAAACTGCTATAAATAGACACAAGCATTTAAGGCAGCTTATGGTAGATGGGAACCTATACGAACACGAGAACGGTGAGCTGCCACATAAAAACTTAATAGAGGAAATTGACTACTTCTTTGAGGGTACTTCTACACTAGAAGATATCGTTGATTCGCTGGAATATGCACTTGATGTACGGGCAGAAGAGGCGTACAATTCATCTTGTCAACGAGCAACAAAGGCTACTGAAAATAAAGAATAAAAAAAATGAAATCTCACCATAAAATTTTTGAAAACATTTCAACCAAAAAAAAATCGACAGTCCCTGTTCCATTGTCAGATTTCCTCAGATGACTAAAACAATTTCCGCTTGTTCTTATAATAATCTTGAAAAACTCTAATTGTGTTGATGCACTCCAAATCGGTTTAGGACACGAAAACCCAAACACTTATATATAGGGTTACATAGCAAAAAAGGACTAGATAGACAAAGAAACAAATATTATACAAAGGAGAAGCGAACCTTCGTACCACTTGCAATACCACGCGAATATAGGATTGCACACTATCAGACAATGAAGCGAAAGCTACTAAGTCGGAAAAAAACAGTTGAAATCGAATTACAAAATATTCCTTTTTCTCTCGAACTATGTTAATTTTGAGAAATCTACGTCCAGCAAAACAATCGCCGGCGTAATATAAGTATCCGGAAAACTTAACGAGCAACAACTAAGCCGATACCACTTTCGCACTTCGAAAAAAAAATAAAATACCTTGAAGCTCGCTGAATTTCTAGAATTATTCATGATTGGTTGCTGTTTTCTGAAAACAAGTGGGTATTATTCACAAGTTACAAATTGAAAACTCAGTCTCATTAGTACCAAAAAAAATCAATCACGTTATTACAAACAAAATTCAATGGGCCAACGACTAATAAGCCGACTAATTGAAGCTCTCGGAAAAATTTCGGGCGATAACCGGCACTTATTTTCGTATAGGGTTTTGCCGTCTGTTGACAAGCTCGCGACACGTTAACGCGACAGCGGCGGTCACTATTCTGTTGTTTGAACAGTAGAAAACGAATTTAATAATTCCTTGGCTCTCAAACCGTCCAATAGAATTGATTAATTTTTTTTACAAACGGCACCGAATTTTCAAATGAGACTTCACCCTTAAAGCTATCCCACTTCGGGAAAACTATCAACAATCAACATTTTCATTCCGCTATGAATTCAGCAGAATGCAGTGTTTTTTTTAAAACTAGAAGTGAATAAGTTTTTAATAAGCTTTACAATTTTGTTCCTCGATAGTGGAGTTCGCCTTCCTTTTAACAAAGAAAAGGAACTGAGCTTGATAAAAAACACCGGAGCTCAAAAAATTAAATTTGAGCGGAAAAAAATATCACGAAATAGAAAATTAAAAATCATTTCGTTCTTTTTACGTTGCCAAACTAGCGAATAGAAAAAGACGGAAATCACTACGCCCGGAAACAATTGAGTAAACATTTTATCTAGCATTGCACACTATCAGACAATGAAGTGAAAGCTACAAGGTCGAAACACAACGGTTGAAATCGAATAATAAAACATTTTAATTTTCTCTCGATTTATGAAAATTTTTAGGAATATAGGCTCAGCAATGCAATCGCCGGCGTAGTATAAGCTAGCGGGAAAACTTACCGAGCAACAAATAAATCGATACCACTTTCGCCGTTCGAAATAAAACAATCTGAGCTAATTGAATTTTAATAATTATTTATGATAAGCGCTGTTTTCTTAAAGCTGGTGCGTATTCATAAGTACCTATTGAAACATAGCCAACTAACAGTTGGAAAAGAGTAATGAACACAAAGAAGCTGAAAAAAAAACGAATTGTTTTTTTTTTCAAAATCTTCAACTTTTGAATTCCGAAGAAAAAAAACAGATGAACTCAAACCTCTTTGAATTTGTAGAACAATTTAAGATCGACACTTTTATATTGAAATAGACCCAATTTAAGAATGCTTGAACAATAGGTAAAACTTTTGATTTGCTGAGAGATCTGACAATTAATTTGCAATTTCGAAGTTAGAAGTCGATCACAATTTTCGTGAACTTTACAATTTTGCTGTTCGGTAGTGGAATTTGCCTTCCTTTTTACAATAAAATGCACAGAATTTGAAAAGAAATCACCAGTCATACCGCGAAAAACTAAATTCGTGCGTGAACAAACTTTTCGACTTTTTAGTGAGAACTATATTAAGAGTACTCACTACATTCATTACTCTTGAAAATCAGTGTCATTCGTACCATAATCAATAATCAATCGCGTTAGTACAAACAATCAATTTTCCAGCGACTAAAAAGCCGAAAAACTGAAGCTCTTGGTGAAATGTTGTCGGTGGGCGATAACTTATTCTCGTATAACGTTCTGCTCTCTGTTTGCAAGCTCGCGACACGTTGGCTCGACTGCGCCGGTCACTATTCTGTTTTTGAATAGTAGAAAACGAAGTTAATTTTTCGTTGGCTCACAAATCGTCCAACTGAGTTGATTAATTTTAATACAAATGGCACTGATTTTTCAATCCCAGTTAGAGAAAACTATCAATTTTCATTCCGCAATCATTTTAGCAAAATGCAGTCAATACGTTTTTCATAAGCTTTCCAATTTTGTTGCTCGATAGTGGGGTTTACCTTCCTTTTCACAAAGAAAATGAGTTGATCTTAAAAAAAATCATCACTGAAGCTTGAAAAAATAAAGTTGAGCGGGAGATAAATTGAGAGTTTCCTAAAAAACAAAAAAATATCACGACCTATAGAAGTGAAAACCATTTCGTTCTTTTTACCTTGCCGATCCATCAAATAGGAAAAAGACGGAATCAATACGCCCAAAAACAATCAGTAAAAATATTACACAGAAGCTGTACATAGCAAAAAAAGCGAGAAAACGGCAAAACAGTAGCTCTGAATGCCAAAAAAAAGTAAAAAAAGGGAATACAGAAAGCCTTGAAAGTATTTTGCTATGTGCCGGAAATGAGTCACTGATCAGAGGGTTAGGTTTTTCACGTCTTCGTAGCTTCGCCATGTTCGCTTGAAAATAAATAAGAGGCACAGCTAAAGCATGAGGTATCATTGAGAAAACTTGATCAATGGGTAAAACTTGTATTTCACTGAGAGATCTGATAATTACTTTCCATTTTCGAAATTAAAAGTTGTTCAAAATTTTTGCGAAACTTACAATTTCGTTGTTTGGTAGTGGAGTTCGCCTCCTTTTTACAATAGAAACGTAGTAAATTTAAAAGGAAATCATCAGACAAACCGCGAAAATTCAAGTTCGAGCGTGATCAAATTTTAGGGTTTTTTCTTAAAAAACCAAAAAAAATCAGCAGGAACTATGTAAGAGTACTCACTACGTTCATTACTCTCAAATATCACTCTCAATTGCACCAAAATAAAGATTCAATCGAGTAAGATAAAACAAATTTCAATTGGCCAACGACTAAAAAGCCGACTAATTAAAGCTAAGGTAAAAAGTCGCCTGTGGGCGATAACCGTCGCTTAATTTTGTATAAAGTTCTATCCTCTATTGGCTATCTCGTATCACGTTGGCGCGAATACGGCGGTCACTTTTCTGCTGTTAGAACAGTAGAAAACGAATTTAATAATTCGTTGGCTCAAAAAATGTCAAATCAGACATCGAGTTGATTAATTATGATACGAATGGCACTGATTTTTCAATTTGGTACAAATTAACCTTGGTAGAATTTAGACTTCACCCTTAAAACTGTCGCAGTTAGAGAAAAATATCAGTAGTCAAAGTTTTCAATCCGCTAAGATTTTAGCAAAATACAGTAGTTTTTTTTAGAAATAGAAATCAATCCGTTTTTCATAAGCTTTACATTTTTTGTTCCTCGAGTGTGGAGTTTGCCTTCCTTTTAACAAAGAAAACGAACTGAGGTTGAAAATAAATCAACACCGAAGCTCGAAAATTAAATTTTAGTGGGAATAAATTTTGAAAATTTCCCAAAAACAAAAAAAAATTTATATATCATCACCTATATAAGTGAAAACCATTTCGTTTTTTTTTTACCCTGACAAACTAGCGAATAGAAAAAAGACAAAAATCACTACTCGCAAAAAAATTAGCAACGAAGCGAGAGAGCCGCAAACAGTAGCTCTGAAAAGCCAAAAATAAAGCAAAATAAGAAAAGACAAAAAACCTTGAAAGTGTTTTGCTGTGCAGGAATTGAGCCACTGATCAGAAGGTTAGGCGTCTCACCTTCTCGTAGCTTCGCCATGTTCGCTCGAAAATGATTAAGGGACACAGCTAAAGCTATTTTTCTAAAATGTCAAGATGTCAAAAACTGAACATCTACCGAGTCCATAGCTGACTCCCTATTTTAAGTACGGAGAAAACGCTTTTGCCTGAAAACAATTAAGCGACTCGAATATAAAAAATCCCAGAACTTTAAAAATAAAGAATTGGCTAGATATTTTTGGGGAAAGGAAACGAGGTCCAAAAATCGGTGCACAGGTCAAGTACTTCTATGTGTTTTATTATTAGGATTATTATGATTTACAGCTAAAAGCTGAAGGGGAATGACGATGAGAAGAGGAAACAGAGTTTTAGTTTTTCAGTCTACAAGTGTCGCATAGACACAAGTACCTCCTTGAACAAATAGACTCTTCGCGATAAAATCTTCCAAATGCGTCCCATACGTGTGACACTACCCTTCCTTTGAGTTTATCGGCGAAAGAAAATCAACACTGCAAAGCAGTTTGCTTATAAGCTTTGCAATTATGTACCAGAAGTTTGAGCGACATACTTCCACACGTATTTTAGGTACTTTAAAGATATTTCCAGTACGCTGTGCACATGTGCTCAAAGAAGAGAGATACTTTCGCCACTCAATGTCGGTGCTTCCTGCTCTAGAATATCAAATATATCTAGATACATAGACAAAGGAAGAATGTTCCATTTTTACAGTCGTTGTGGACAACTGAAGTCGACATAACCACATCCTTTCAGTGAAACGGAATTTACAATTTTCGAGAATACCGATGTCTGACTTTGAAGGGTACCACGCAGCTCTAGTATAAGAGATAATAGACAAAACTAGGGTTTTGTAAGTGTTTAAACAAGCTGCCTTGGAAACAACTGGAGATAGATTCCGTTTCAACATCCATCATGAAAACACTATTTGCTTTCTTGATCACGCGGATCACATGTGCTGACCACTTGAGTGAGTAGCCTAATTGTTGTGATAAACTTATTAAATAGTTTAAGATGATATGCTGCAGTGAAAGTGAAGATTCCCAACTCAACTAAGCAGAGTCACCTATCCAGCTTTTTGCGGCCATGGGTAAAAAGCTTAGTTGAATGTCAGTTCCAAGTGAACCTTTGTATAGTGTAGCCCTGAGCGGGTCCCCACACCAAATCGACTGGACTATACGTTGGTAATCTTGGTCTGACGGGTCGGCGTGGATCTGGACTTCATGGATCTGGATGTCCAACGAAGCACCACGCAGTGGTACCTCAAGAACCATGATTGGTAAAGATTACTACCCCACTATCTCAGAACTGGTATGGTCCTCTGAAGATGATACAGCCAAGATTTTATCTGGTCTGTCGAAATCAAGTATATCATGCCTTCACCGCGAGTGCCTGTCACAGTTAAAAGTGGCATTGAACAAAGAAACATCTCTCACTGAAGTTGTCTCCTCTTTATCTACTGGTATGAACGATCTGAACGCAACAGCTATTCTGAAAATAGAATCATCTGTAGAACAGATATTCCGTGAACTTCAAGCTACGAAAATTCAAGAAGTTCCAGTCACGACGATTCCGGTTACGGGAGTCAAGGTTATATCACCTATTCCTAATTCTATTGACGATTACCGATATCAAGCTAAAGTCGTTGGCATTCCAGAAAAAGTTGAAAAGTATCCGAACAACCGAGCTCTCGCTGACCGAGATGCGGTTATTGCCGTAATGAAAAATTTGGGCATGGATTACTCAACTGTGAAAGACTGCTACCGACGTGGAAAATACAACAAAGAAAAATTAAGACCCCTGATTGTGAATTTTTCATCAATATGGGATTCTACACTTATGAGAAACAAAGCCATGACTGCTGAACTTTATAAAAAGAAAAAATACTTGTGTTCCCCGAACTTTCACTCCAAGATAAAGAAATAGAACCCGGGACCAAAAACCATTAAAGAGAAAGCGTAAAACCGAATAAAAACAGTGTATAACCAAGAAAAAGCCAAAACAATTTTATTCGAAAACAAAAAAAATGCAAAAAACAGTAAAAAAAATCGAAAAAAACCAAAAACAAGCTGCCTTGGAAACAACTGGAGATAGATTCCGTTTCAACATCATGAAAACACTATTTGCTTTCTTGATCACGCGGATCACATGTGCTGACCACTTGAGTGAGTAGCCTAATTGTTGTGATAAACTTATTAAATAGTTTAAGATGATATGCACCGGAGACACCCAATTTACAACGGAGATCATAGACAGAGCGAACGATGTCCGAAAACTGATGACTCTAGAGGCAATTCACATCGCTAGAATGAAACCCGGCCTGAACACGCGGGATGAGTTTCGCAGCCTAGAGCTGACTCTGAAATTATAGAAGAGTATTTTGTTCCAGTGTAAACTGGCTTGCTTTCATATTCACATATCATAGCGAATTTTATTCACTTTGTTTTTAATGTTTAACCTTGTTAAACTATGTACATTTTACATTTTTATACAAGCTTTTATTTCAGTGTCTGACGATGGTGATTATTTCATTGAAAAGCTTTACACAACATTGATGTTTTATTCCTAAGATAAGATGATATGCTGCAGTGAAAGTGAAGATTCCCAACTCAACTAAGCAGAGTCACCTATCCAGCTTTTTGCGGCCATGGGTAAAAAGCTTAGTTGAATGTCAGTTCCAAGTGAACCTTTGTATAGTGTAGCCCTGAGCGGGTCCCCACACCAAATCGACTGGACTATACGTTGGTAATCTTGGTCTGACGGGTCGGCGTGGATCTGGACTTCATGGATCTGGATGTCCAACGAAGCACCACGCAGTGGTACCTCAAGAACCATGATTGGTAAAGATTACTACCCCACTATCTCAGAACTGGTATGGTCCTCTGAAGATGATACAGCCAAGATTTTATCTGGTCTGTCGAAATCAAGTATATCATGCCTTCACCGCGAGTGCCTGTCACAGTTAAAAGTGGCATTGAACAAAGAAACATCTCTCACTGAAGTTGTCTCCTCTTTATCTACTGGTATGAACGATCTGAACGCAACAGCTATTCTGAAAATAGAATCATCTGTAGAACAGATATTCCGTGAACTTCAAGCTACGAAAATTCAAGAAGTTCCAGTCACGACGGTTCCGGTTACGGGAGTCAAGGTTATATCACCTATTCCTAATTCTCTTGACGATTACCGATATCAAGCTAAAGTCGTTGGCATTCCAGAAAAAGTTGAAAAGTATCCGAACAACCGAGCTCTCGCTGACCGAGATGCGGTTAATGCCGTAATGAAAAATTTGGGCATGGATTACTCAACTGTGAAAGACTGCTACCGACGTGGAAAATACAACAAAGAAAAATTAAGACCCCTGATTGTGAATTTTTCATCAATATGGGATTCTACACTTATGAGAAACAAAGCCATGACTGCTGAACTTTATAAAAAAGAAAAAATACTTGTGTTCCCCGAACTTTCACTCCAAGATAAAGAAATAGAACCCGGGACCAAAAACCATTAAAGAGAAAGCGTAAAACCGAATAAAAACAGTGTATAACCAAGAAAAAGCCAAAACAATTTTATTCGAAAACAAAAAAAATGCAAAAAACAGTAAAAAAAATCGAAAAAAACCAAAGAAACAATAAAAAACTTAAGGTGACGGTTTTTATGTTATTTCCGGACGAGATTCGATCTGACTGTGCCAGTCGGTCATATTTGGAAGTTTGACCTTGAGAAACACGAAACACGCAATTTTGGGAGGAAATTTAATTTTTCAAAATTTCGAATGGAGCCTGTCATGCTAAACTTTGTCGCGACAACTGAAAATATCAGAAAAATAAGATCAGAACATCCGATTTACAATCGCGGGAAAGTAGCTAAAAAAGCAGCGGGAAATTGCAATTCGCAATTTCTAGAAACAAAATAAAACGCGAGTAGAGACGTCTTATCCTGAAATAGGAAAGAAACGATTGCGAAAGAAGATGACGATTATTCGAGCTGAACTAGAGTGAACCCTCAGTGGAAAAGTGGACAGCTGGGGTGTCCCAATGGTTCAGACCAAAACTTCATTACTAGAGGCAAAACTTGTTTTCCTTATTAAAACTAATTAGTATTAAACTCCTCAAGTTATATTACTTAAATCACGAGTTGCTCATTAATTTAGCTACCTCCAATTCCCGAGTGTGCCAACATGTGAGTTCTCAATTTAGTTTTCTTGAGTGTGTTTTATGATTGTTATGATAAGATAAGGCGAGTTTTAGGTTGATCCATCTGAAATGGATCAAAGTTTCACTGTCTAATAAAAAGTAACTGTGCGGACTGTTCCGACCCTGTTTTTAACCGCGTTCGTGTATTTTGGGTATTTTGAGACCTAAGTATAGGGACATTCTTATTTTCTAGAGTGGGGGGGTATTTTGGTAGTGGCTTTTAAGCTGTAACGGGTTTTTAGTCTCATGTCTCAAGCGAACCAAATTGGCTCTGAACGTTTTGAGGTGGAAAAACACAAGAAATAGTGTCCCTGACTCTTGAGCCAATGGTTTTAGGGCCTATTCTTCTTAAACCTCATATGTGACCAAAGTAGGCGACTGTTACATAGTGTTTTTATGGCGCTCCTGGGTGTTTTTACGACATCATGACTACGGAGTCGAACCCACTTGACGCAGCTCCGGGCTACACTCCCATTCTAGAGTACCGGTGGTACGGTTCAGCGGGAACGGGTAAACCTTCCGGTCGTACCGTGATAGCTTTTTAAGAAAACTCGAGAAAATTTCCTGGTACGCTCTCCGAACGAGGCTTAGCTAACCGAGTAAGGGGGGGGGTAACTAGGGAGACGAAAAAACGAGAAAAAGACAAAAAGCCAAAAAAAAACCGAAAAAGAACAGAAAAAGGAACAAAAACTATAAAACAAAAAAATGACAGTGACTTTGACACCAAATTAGTTGGATCAAACCTTTATATTAATTCAAGAGTATACCCATACTGTTTTTATAAGACCGATCGTTTCGATCATTTTAGCAATCTGAAAAGGTGCCCGAGTGTGGGGCGTTGTGAAGGGTTTTCAGATAGCCTGCAACTTAGCTGGACCATTAGGAGACTTGACTGGAACAGGTGACCAGTCGAGTGAGAAAGTGGTTCACAGGGACTTAGCTGGAACATTAGGAGACTTGACTGGAACAGGGGACCAGTCGAGTGGGAAAGTGGTTCACAGGGATTTAGCTGGCCATTAGGAGACTTGACTGGAACAGGTGACCAGCCAAGTGGGAAAGTGGTGCTGGTGATCAGCCGCAGGACAAGTCAAGGAAACAACCAGCACAAGCAGAGCAACAAGAGAGGACGAGGGCGTTCTCAAGTTGGTCAAACGGGTATCGTTAAAATCCACCTTACATTATAGGAAATAAGTGTAAAATTGGATAAGCGGAACCCCATTGTTTTGAGGAAGTTTTTAGTCAAGCAGGCCTGGAAACAGGTCTACGGTTTTCTCTCGAGAGGTTTAGCACCCGGCGCTTAAGGGATTTTTCGGCTTAAGAGGGGGGCTAAAGAGGGGGGAAGTTAGAAGGGGGGCTGGTTAGGTTAGAGGTTGGTGGTTGAAAAGTGTAAAAAGAGGGGACACATTAGAGTAACTAATTGATCGGCATAGTCGATTTAGTTACATTAGATTCTTACACGCGTCGGTTATAAGAAGCGGATATCCAAATTTATCATCGAATCAAGGTAGGTACCCTGATCGGATCGGGAGGGGGGAACGGACATAGACAGTTTTTGTGATACCCATAAGATCGCTAGCAGGGGGAGGAGAACGCGTGACAATCAGGTACCAGACATTTTTTTTATTGTTGTTCAGACAAAGGGTTGACACGAGTCACCTTTGAATTTTAGGTGGGTACATCATTTTTTTTCTCTGTCTCTTTTTTCGCTTTTATCGATATTCATTATTTTTCTCTGTGTAAAATTTTTGACGCTTTTTGGAGAAGAAAGATTTAATCGGTTTTGGACAAACAGGTGATCACAAGACACCTAGAGAAGGTTGGGCTTCAACTTGCGTCACAATATTGAAAGGAAATAAATACAAGGGGGTTGGTATTTTTAATTTTTGGCCAGTAAGGTTGGGTGTTTTTGGGCGAGTTTTTACTAGAGCTCGAGTGGTGGTACAAGGTACAGTGGTTGGAGGCAGTCTTAGGACAGGCAGTCTTGGGACAGGCAGTCTTGGGACAGGCAGTCTTGGGACAGGCAGTCTTGGGACAGGCAGTCTTGGGACAGGCAGTCTTGGGACAGGCAGTCTTGGGACAGGCAGTCTTGGGACAGGCAGTCTTGGGACAAGCAGTCTTGGGACAGGCAGTCTTGGGACAGGCAGTCTTGGGACAGGCAGTCTTGGGACAGGCAGTCCTGGGACAGGCAGTCTTGGGACAGGCAGTCTTGGGACAGGCAGTCTTGGGACAGGCAGTCTTGGGACAGGCAGTCTTGGGAGAGGCAGTCTTGGGACAAGCAGTCTTGGGACAGGCAGTCTTGGGACAGGCAGTCTTGGGACAGGCAGTCTTAGGACAGGCAGTCTTGGGACAGGCAGTCTTGAGACAGGCAGTCTTGGGACAGGCAGTCTTGGGACAGGCAGTCTTGGGACATGCTGTCTTGGGACAGGCAGTCTTGGGACAGGCAGTCTTGGGACAGGCAGTCTTGGGACAGGCAGTCTTGGGACAGGCAGTCTTGGGACAGGCAGTCTTGGGACAGGCAGTCTTGGGACAGGCAGTCTTGGGACAGGCAGTCTTGGGACAGGCAGTCTTGGGACAGGCAGTCTTGAGACAGGCAGTCTTGGGACAGGCAGTCTTGGGACAGGCAGTCTTGGGACAGGCAGTCTTGGGACAGGCAGTCTTGGGACAGGCAGTCTTGGGACAGGCAGTCTTGGCACAGGCAGTCTTGGGAAGCAGTCTTGGACAGGCAGTCTTGGGACAAGCAGTCTTGGGACAGGCAGTCTTGGGACAGGCAGTCTTGGGACAGGCAGTCTTGGGAGAGGCAGTCTTGGGACAGGCAGTCTTGGGACAGGCAGTCTTGGGACAGGCAGTCTTGGGACAGGCTGTCTTGGGACAGGCAGTCTTGGGACAGGCAGTCTTGGGACAGGCAGTCTTGGGACAGGCAGTCTTGGGACAGGCAGTCTTGGGACAGGCAGTCTTGGGACAGGCAGTCTTGGGACAGGCAGTCTTGGGACAGGCAGTCTTGGGACAG